GCTGAGTGCAATAAGCCCATCACAAAAGAAAGGCACATGGCAAGCAATCACTATTGCAAAAAGTCTGGAAAAGGTTTCCACGCCAAGAGAAGCCTTCTTTGATGGTTACGAAGGATGGACGGGGAAACCCAAGACCCACACTCAGTGCCACCGAGGCGATGCCGACTCCTGGCCACCCCACAGGACAGGCTGCAAGTGTCCCCGTGGGTTTCTGAGACTCACTCTTGACCGGTGGAGAAAGCCCTGTCTTTCTCCGTGGGAGTGGCTGATAGTTTTGAGTTGTTGACCTGGAGTTGGCAGCCCCACAAGTACCCACTACTCCACCAGGACTCCTATGAAAGGGGAGGAGAGGGTCACTTACTACACAGAAGGAAAACACGTCCTGCCTTCAGTAAAGGGGCAAGCAATACACAGTAAGAGGGAGGTCAGCAAACGGATGGAAGCAGAAGACAATGGGAGAGTGCAGGAACTAAAGGCAGCAGAGAGAGATGCTATTGAATACACAACCTAGCAGTAACGGTGAGTTTGATTTTGTGAATGGGTGCATACACAAGTGTGGGGGGGGAGTGGGGTTCTTCTGATAGATAGGCTTGACTGCCCTCAGGGCACAGCACTTAAGCATCAGGCTGTTAACCGGAAGGCAGGCAGTTCAAACCCACCAGCCACGCCATAGGAGAAAGACGCGGCAATGCGCTACTGCAGAGCTGTACACTCTCCCAGTAAAATGATCAAAAATAAAAAACTCAAAAAGATGTACACTCTCAAACCCCATGGAACCGTTCTGCTCTGTCCCATAGGGTTGATGTGAACCTGAATCAACTTGACAGTAGCAGGGATTTTTTAAGTTATTTACCTATACTGCAAGTATATCCCTGGAGCAGACAGGAGCGACCTTATGAAAATTGCTTAGAAAATGCCAAATGGCTTGAGGGAACGAGTCTGGGGGATCAGGACCATTGTCTCAGAGGGATGTCAACTGGCATAAGATATCCACGAAGGTGATTTTCTAATTCCACTTTGATAAGTAGCGACTGGATCTTAAAAGCTTGTGAGCTGACACCTAAGGTACTCCCACAGATTCAAGAAGTCCTTGCCCGTCCTTAGTGAGAATACACCAAAAAGGTACTGAGAAGATAAAAGGCAGGCACCATATTTATTTCTTGCTAGAGTCCTGATGGCCTAGTGGTTATGTCTTGGACTGCAAAATTCATGGCTGGCAGTTTGAAACCACCAGCAGCTCCTCAGGAGGGAGACTGGGCCTTCCCTTCCCATAAACAGTTACCACCCTGGGTCACTATGGGTCCACAATGACAGTGAGCGAGTGAGCCCTGGCAGGGTAGCAGTTGGGCTACTATCTGAAAAGTCAGCAGTTCAAAACCACCAACTGCTTCTAGGGAGAAAGACAAGACTTTCTACTCCTATAAAGAATTACAGTCTCCATAGCCCACAAGGGCAGTTCTACCCTATAGGGTCACAGCCATAGGGTCCCTATGAGTCAAAATTGACACCGTGGCAGAGAGTGTGAGAACAAGGAGGCAGTGAGAATTGCTTCTCAGGAAGAGACTGCCTCCCAAAGATAACAAATACATTACACATATTCATAACATATCTGGGGAAGTTATGCATATTCATAAGAGGTTATGCTAGGCTCATAAGTGGTATGGATGTGGCCACAGATCCTTGGCTTCCGGAGTTGGTCCTTAAGATCAGATCCATTGTTGTGGTGTGGGTGAAAGACATGGTCATGTTTCCTGCACGTGTCCAAAGTCAGGTTCTGGCCAGCTGCCTCTGAAGGGCATTTCTAGGGTGAGGGTGGGGGACAGCTTATGCGCTACTTCCTCCTAGAAGAAATGTCCCATAAGGAACGTAGCAGTTTCTTACCACGGGTGTGTGGACCTGGGAAACGGTGAAGGTTGTTTCTGAACTAATTTATCTGTGCGATCAACCTCAGCTTAAACCCACGGTCTTTTTCACTCTCAGCTAACTGTCTCTGACCTGTCTCAATAGACAAGGTGTGGGCGCAGATGGACAATTTCCTATTCTGTTCCCTCACTGTCCCCAGCCCATCTCATCCTTGTCAGGGAGACAGAAGAGAGATGAAAACCGAAGACGCACGGATGGTAACAATTAGTCCAATGAAATCATGAATCATATGGACATTGGTCTCTGCAACCCTGAGGTCACAAGAGCTAGATGGTGCCTGGCTACTGCTTACTACCAACTCATCCAAAAGGATCACATGAGAAGATCCTGCATACGTCAGAGAAAAAGACAGAAGAAACGTCTAAACTATAAAAGCAATGAGACTTACTGGTTGGAAAAAGACTAACGGAACCCCCGAGACTATGGCGCTAGGTTACCCTTCAGGTTCAGAACTGAACTATCTCCCCCCTCAACCGAGCTCAATTTCAGCAACCAATGAACAGTCTGTAAGGAGAAGATTCCACTAGAGAAGTAAACACTCCTGAGAGCAGTGGTTCTCAGCCTTCCTACTGCCGCAACCCTTTCAGAGAGTTCCTCATGCTGTGGTGACCCACCACTGTTCTGAATTGGGCGACCCTGTGAAAGAGTCGTTTGACCCCCAAAGGGGTCGTGACCCCCAGGTTGAGAACTGCTGCCTTAGAGTAACCAGTCACTTGCAATGAAGAGAGCAGCATGCACCAAGGGAAAGAGGCAGGAGGGCAGGAGGAGGAGGAACGGATGGGAAAGCAGGGAGGACGTGGGAAGGCGGTGGGACGTCGTGGGGACAGCAGTCAGCGAAGAGAAGCTGCATGTGTAGCCATTGTTGAATGGAAAACGGGTCTGCTCTGTAAGCCGCACCCAATTCATCAATGAAAAGCTTCCAATTCAAAAAACCAAATCTCACTACGCACAAATTTAATAATCACTTTTATCAGTGATAGTACTAAATATTACTACTAGAAAATGTGATGAGAGTTGCTTTGTGCATATTGGGAAGAAAGTACTAGGAAGTGTTTGTTTCCAAGCATACTTCTGGCAAAATGGGTGTGAATAGTTCCACATGAAATGGTCTATGTGCACTTCAGGAAAATCACGATACCCTAACACACACACACACACACACACACACACACACCTCTGTGAGTCCCCTCTCTCGGACTGGGTGGACATGTATAGAGGCCTGTCCTGGGAATGTTAGTTTGCAGATACGAGTTCCGTTGAGAAACGGAAGTCTGATGTCCTCTGTTACAAGTCAAGTTTAGCAGCAGAACCCACCCCAACAGAAATGTTTGTATTAACAAGCTGGCATACCTGTCTTCATTATGCCATTATGGTCAGTTGTCAGTAACGAGCAAGCAAGCCCAAGGGAAGGGTCACCACCCTCTCACTGCCCACAGTCAAGTTCCTTGAACCTTCTCTGCTCCTTCCCAGGCATGTCTGGAATCATAGAAAGTCTACGTCCAAAAGCACTGGCTGTTCTGCAATACAATCACAGTGCAGTGGCATGACCAAATGGGCGGCTCAAGGGCTATGGGTCCCACTTGCAGCACCACCCCCTCCCCGCTGCAATTCTTTTCTGTGAGCAGTTGCTCAGCCTCGGGTGAAGGGCTGTGGAAACCAGTGCGGTTTCTCACCCTTTCGCCCACCACAGCTGATCTCCCACTGCCACGGAGCTGGGAACGTCTCCACTTTCCGTACCCTTTTTCACTTTCTAGCCATCCAGGAAGGCACAACCCGGGGCGGGGTGTCCCAGTATCAACAAGAAAACAATTAGAACCTTCTCAAATGTGATTTTTCTCCCCAGACCAGGTTTCACCTGATACCTTCCTCCAACCCCAGCCTCTATCCTATCCTGCCCATCTGCCCAGCAAGAGCTAAGTAGCTTCACCGCCTCCGCTGGCCTGCCACTCATTCCTCAACCACCATGGCCTCCCTCGCTGCCCAACGCCTCCTCTCACACGGCTTTTAACCTCCAGTCCCCACTCTCCACTCCCTGAGGGAGCATCTCCGCAGTTCGCGCCTCTCCCTCCCACACTGCCTGGGGACTCCTGTCCACTTGGCTGGCGTCCTTCGCCCCTTGGGTAATCCACAAAACCCTATCTCCAGCTGTGGGGTCTCTCCCAAGGGACAGACATGGCCACTTGAATAGTACAAGGGTCTCCAACTCAACGTGCCCAAGGTTAAGTTCATCTTTTCCCTTCCCCCCTCTCACTTATCCTAGCCAAAACTCGAAGTTCAGTTTGATTCTGTGTTCCTCTTGTTCTTGTTGCTGGGTACAGTCGAAGGCATTCCTGCTCGGAGCAGCCCCGTGAGACAGGGGAGACCGACCTCACACAGTTCTACTCCCGCAGAGAGTGACAGTCTTTGCTCAGAAACCCCGTCCTGGAGGGTGGCTAGGAGCTGGCAGACTCCACTGGGGAGATGGTTTTCTCAACTGTAATCTTGAAGGAAGCAGGTCACCAGATCTTTCTTTACAGAGTTGCCGGACAGGTTCAAACCTCCAATCTTCAGGTTATCAGTCACACCTGTCACAGGTAAATAGGGCCACCCAGACTGTCTCTAAGGCCCAGTCAGGGGAATCCTTTCACCCGACTTTCTGAATGTATTCAGTGCTCTTTAAAGAATGACCCCAGACATGCTCATTCTAGTATTTTATTGGCAGCTGGCTGCATACATCAATGAAATCAGATCAGGGTATAAACGTTGCTTTCACACACACATATCCTCATGTCTGTGCAACCTCCTTAGATCACTTAATAAATCCCAGGTTGCTTCTGACTGTGGTGCCTAAGAGCTGGATTGGTCCAGAAATTTCTCGTATCATATAAATACACCTGCCATAGCATCTATAATAACTATCATTATTCTGAGTTGGTTCCAAAGTCCTGGAAACACCTTATACTCTAAGGCAGTGGTTCTCAACCTTCCTAATGCCATGACCCTTTAATACAGTTCCTCATGCTTTGGTGACCCCCAACCATAAAATTATTTTCGCTACTGTTATGAATGCAAATATTTGATAGGCAGGATGTATTGGACGACCCCTGTGAAAAGGTTATTCGACCCCCAAAGGGGTTGCAACCCACAGGTTGAGAACCGCTGCTCTAATATAAGCGAGCACCATGCCTTGGTGGCAATGTGGGTGAGAGGAGGCGAAGGGTGATGCAGCGTACAATGGAGCTAATTATAGTGGAAGTCGAGACAAAGGGAATCCCAAGCCGGGCAGGGAACTCCATCTCCTGTCATTTTCCAGCACTGCTTGAATGTCAAGGGTAGTGGGGAGGAGAGTGCGGGGAGGACACAGCACACAGCTCAGGCCCCAGCTCCCCTGGCATTGAGAAGGAAAGGCAGTCTTCTTATACACTACATAATGGCAGGGTCTTGCACAGAAAAGATCCTGGGACGTACCATCCATCCTCTCCCGGCACTGTTCGGCTCCCTCCCTTCTGAGCAAAGTAGGGGGGACTTGCATCTTAAAGAAAAGAGTGTGGCTGCTGGCCCCTTAGAAGGAGAACACAGTGCCCTTTGTGTATTTTGGCCTGAAGAGCCCTGACAGAGGCTGCTCCCGCTAAGGGCCACCTTTAAGTCCATCCCCAGCACTTGGGGTCTTTGGTCTTCAGAGCTTCTCCGCGCTCAGAAACACCCTGTGATGTGTGGTAGCTTTCCCCTCCACTCAGACATGAGATTCTCAGCCCTGATGAAGCAGGAAGGGCAGCGATCATCAAATGATCATCCGCCTTCCACAGATGAGGAACCTGGAGCTTGCAGTTAGTCTTGACCAATCGCACACAGCTGACCAGGGGCAGACTTGAAGCCAGCCTCAGTTCTCCACTCAAACACCTGAGAGGTGGGGGGTGGAGGGGGTGGTCCTCATCCCTCACTTCACCCTCTTGGGAGGCCCTCAGACAGCCCCGTTGAGGACTGGGTGCGTCCGCATGCGATAGATGATCACAGCAGTGGCCGGGCACAGCAGCAAGGAGGTCATGATGACGATGGTGGCCAGGATGACAAGGACGATCACCCAGATGTCCAGGATGTGCTTGGGGAGCTCAACATGGGCAGGGACCTGGCTGATGGCGTCCATGACCCTTCACCTGCAACAGAGAGCAAAGGGTAAGTCCCGGTGGTGCCCCCTTGGCTGACGCCACAGTGGAGGGACACCTGCTCCACGGGCCAGAGGCCTGAGGCCTTGACCAGCTGTGAGCAGCACTGGGGTCAGCGCTCGCCACTAGCTTGTGCAACGGCAGCTCACGGCCATCCAGGGACTCCATGGGACAAATGCCTGGCGATCTGCTCCATCAGGATGACAGCCCAGACACCCTATGGAGCAGTTCTACTCTGGAACCCACAGATGGTGTGGCCAGAGTCGGAATCCACTTGGCAGCCACGGGTTTCATTTGTGAGCCTGGGTGCCAGGGCCTCCACTGGGCACTCAGGTGTAGTCATCCATTTAGTCTGCACCCAACTACCAGCCCCACGAGCTAAGAATGTTCATAGCATTCCTGGTTTTATTTATTTGTCCTTATCTTCAGGGAAGGAGCCCTGGTGGCAGGGTGGGTACGTGTTAGGCTGCTAACTGCATGGCTGGCAGTTCAAAACCACCAGCCACTCTGTGGGATAAAGACAGGGCTTTCTACTCTCGGAAAGCGTGACCAGTCTCGGGAACTCACAGGGGCAGTTCTACCTGTCCTATGAGTTGACATTGCCTCGAGGGGGGTGAGTTTGGCTTAGTATCTACAATGATTTCCGTTTTAAAAGAACTCTAAAATTAATTTGCCCGAGGATGTGAACCCAGATTTGTGGGCCCCACAGCTACCGGAACAAGGGACTGCTGCGTGGTTTCAGATCAGGACAGGTGTGTGGCAGGGTTGTATCCTCTCGCCATACTTGTCTAAGCTGTATGCCGAGCAAATCATCCGAGAAGCTGGAGTGTCTAAAGAAGAAGGTGGCATTGGGATTGGAGGAAGGCTTGTTAACAACCTGCGATATGCAGATGACACAATCCTGCTTGCTGAGAGGGAGGAGGGCTTGGAGCCCTGAGGAAGATCAAGGAGTGCAGCCTTGAGTGTGGATTACAACTCAATGTGAAGGCCCAAATCCTCACAGCTGGACCAATAGGTAGCATCGTGATCAATGAAGAAAAGGTTGAAGCTGTTAAGGATTTTGTCTTGCTTGGATCCACAATCAATGCTCATGGAAGCAGCAGTCAAGAGATCAAAAGGCATGTTGCGTTAGGTACATATGCTGGACAAGACTTCCCTAGAGTACTGAAGTGCAGGGATGTTACTTTGAGGACTAAGGTGTGCCTGACCCACGCCAGGCATTCTCAGGTGCCTCGTATGCATGTGAGGGTGGGACACTGAATAAGGAAGACCGAAGAAGAGTCGCTGTGCTTGAATTGCGGTGCTGCAGAAGAATACTTAAAAATACTCTGGACTGCTACAAGGTCAAACCAATCTGACTTGGAAGAAGTAAGGCCAGAGCGCTCCTTAGAGGCAGGGAAGGCAAGACTTCATCTTCTATACTCTGGACACATGGTCAGCAGCGACCCGTCCCTGGAGAAGAGCATCAGGCTTCGTAAAGTGGCGGGGCAGTGAAAAAGAGGAAGGCTCTCGACCGACCGACCGACGGATGGGCACAGTGGCTGTCACAATGGGCCCGGCACAGGAACCACAGTGAGGCTGGTGTGGGACCTGACGGTGTTGCCTCCTTTTGTGCATAGGGGCGCTGTGGGTCGGAGCCGACTCAATGGCACCTGACAACAACAACAACAACAACAATAACAACAGAGCCGCCATGCTTGCTTAACCACCAAACTAGCACACCATCCTTCCAGCCCTGTTCCTTCATCTGTAAGATGTGAAATGTTGGTGCGGTTCCTGGAGCCGTGGGGGCACAGCAGTTCACCATTCTAAGCGTTTGGCTGCTCATCAAGAGCTTGGGGTTTGGGACCCACCATCCACTCTGCAGTAGAAAGACCTAGCCACCTGATCCCTAGTGGTTACACTCGGGAAAACCCAATGGCAGGTCTACACTGTCATACGGAGTCACTGCGAGTTCGACTCAGCTATCAGTAACAGCGACATCGTTCGTTGACTTCTGGGAACAAAATCCTCTTCCCTGCAGAGTTCTCACTAGTCCGTTCTCTACGCTGTCCACGGGTGACTCCCACCTCCAGCCTTCCAGTTAGCAGCAGAATGTGTAAAACCTCGGCTTTCTTCCCAAGAGCAGCTGGTGGTTTCGAACTGCATAACCACTGTGCCACCAGGGCTCCTCAGGAATGGATAGACCATTGCGATTCTTATAGCCCAGCCTATCCTATCCAGGAGCCCTGGTGCTGTAGTGGTTACACGTTGGCCTGATAATCCCCAAGGTCAGCAGTTTGAAACCACAAGCTGCACTGTGGAAGAAAGAGAAGACACTCAACTCCTGGAAAGAGTTGCAGTCTGTGAAACCCACAGGGGCAGTTCTACCCTGCCCTGTAGAGCCCAAATCAGCCTGATGGCAGTGAGTTTGTTTCCGGTGTTGTTGTTGTTGTTGTCTTGGGGTGGTGAAGGTAGCCAACCAAAGTTCTCCCCGGGGCTTTTATGCACAAGCTACTGGGAAAGAAGAGTCTTCCTGCTGGGATTGCTAAATTGGAAAGCCGTGAGTCTGGCAAAGGATGGCTGAGGGCTCTCTGTCCCCCTGTGGAAAGAGCGTGCCTAGGAAGGAAAAAGATGGCGCCTTGATGACCTCACTTCGTACCTGAGCCCGGTTGACTGACCATGCCGGACGCAGGAGCCAGTCAGTCACTGGGTGTGTAACGTCAGCATGATTGCGTTCCCTCCACCGGCAGCTAGGAGTTCTCATGGATACTTAATGTTGCTGCTCCCAGACAGACTGGACCCACAGCGCCTGCGTGTCTTGGCAACTGTGCGCAGCACCCCGAGCCAAAGACACCAGCAGTCTGCTTATTATGCGTTTAGGTCCAAACAGCTCAGTAAGTGTTTATGTCTCCCAACTTAGTGCTGTTGGAAGGGTGGAAAACCCTACTAATACACACAAATGGAAGACAAAGCAGTCTTTCATTCCACTTCCAACCAGTTTCTCAGGAAGAGCGTGTGCACCTGTGGGTCCCTGCCCACCTTCTCAAACTGGGCCTCAGAGGAGACAGGGCTGTTCTCATTGCCTCGCCCACACTGATGCTCAGGGAGGACTTGCTAAGGGCACAGCCACTGCAGAACAGGAAAACGCCGCAGTGCAGCGCAGACTGAAACAGGGAAGTGATTCGAGC